TACCAGCCTTACGCGGCACTCTACCGTGCAGTACCTGCACCACGCACACCTGCCGGTACGCTGCTACCGCGATATGCGGGCAGCGCATGTACAACCAACACCTGTCGGCCGTCCGGCGTTTCTTTCTGACAACTTCAACGTAAAACAACATCACCTGACTTAACATGAACATAATCATCAAAATGACTCAAAAATACAACCTTTAGCATGATCAACTGAACGGGCCGTGGCGAGCGCGCCGTGCGCCGCCGACGGCGATAAGCCGTCTTCCGACCAAAACACCTTCTCCCTCGGCAACTCTAAACCAAATGAACATGAAACATTATTTTGAGGCAATTAAGACATAAATGCACGGAAGAACATGACCATAACTGAAGGTAACGGAACATGAATTGGTACCGCCCGTGGCCACGCGCGATGAGCGCTGGCGACGGCTTCGGGCTATTTAACACATAAAACAGCATTTTGCCTCGACCAACATGGACTAACTGGGCATGAAATGATCTAAACTAAACAAATAAACATGAATTGTACGAGAGTTGCCGGGTAGAAAAAGAAATTACTCGATCACGATTCAACTTAGGCATATTCAAACTTTAGCACGGCAATACTATAACCTCTTGAACATGAGTCGAACACTTCAGCTTAAAATGAACTCATTAACATAAAAATAGGCTGAGAATAGCTATACCTCCTTGAGTGTTTGACGGAATTCACAATCGATCGTGACCTCGCGTGTGTGGGCGCCGTGTGCGATGCTACTCGTCGTGCGTTGCTGTACGTATTGCCGTGCGTGATGCGATGGAAACTTAGAGTAATTGATTGAGCTACTTGCTGCTGAATTTAAGAGTCTAAGGCTGTGTATATAAGATGGAAAGTTGGGGAAATTTTCATTCACATGCTCCTATAAATACTAAGGCCGAGAGAGATGGTGATGATGCATATGGGACGTGGCTCTCTCTTAAGCCTAACACTTGCTTCTAATTGAAAAATCTTAGGATGACTAATCCTCCTCCCAACTCTCCTCATAAGGCCACGTGTGATAGTTAAATGTGGAAGGAAAAGCTTTCCTTAACACTTAGGAAAAATTTTTAGAAGAGTTGGGAAATAAAATTTCCCGTACAGCTTTGATGCTTTAATCAATGATTAATTACCAATTAATCATAATTAATGGCTTATTTATTCAATTAAGCATATTACTTAATTACCAAAATTATTCCGAACGTAAACCGTACGTCGAAAATAATTTTCGGTAATCCCGACTGAAAATAATTAATTCCGAAAATAATAATCGATAACATTGTTATATCGGAACTAAAACATAATTCATACTGACAAAACATCGGGATATTACATGATGACCGGAAAATATGGTTATTAGAAAGCTCAATTAATTGTACCAAAAAGCCTTCTAACAGATTACCTAAACACCTACTTCGATTAAACTTGGTGGAGCGTTTAATAGAATCTCCCTAACTCTCGAACAATGTAATTCTCTCGTGTATGTAGTCGAGAAAAATCGGCCAAGACAACATTATAGGAGAGATAGGGACATGGTGTATTTATAGGCTCCATTAGGGACCTTAAGGAGGTGCTAAATATGGGCTTATTCCATTAGGCCTAGGAATCCTAATTCTATTCCAATACTAATTTAATGTAGGAAGGAAATCTCCTACTAATCTCCTCCTTCTAGAAGACTCCTAAGTCTCCTAACACTAGAGAAGATCCTTGTAGGAATGTCTTTCCTAATTAAATTAATAACCATTGAATAGAATTAATTCCTAATTTAGGATACTTAATTTTACTCCAATTAATAATATAATGTAGAAAATATATTCCCTACTAATCTCCATCTTCTAGATGACTCCCAAGTCTCCTAATCCCAAGAGAAGATTCTAGTAGGAATTTTATTCTCCTAATTAATTAATATGGAATAAAATTAATTCCTATTTAATGGAAAAAATAATAAAATATCCCACTAGAGTAATATTATTGATCTCCCCATTTAGCCACTATTTTACCAATAAAATCGAGCCTCCATGATTAAATAATATTAATCTGATTGATCGATTTACCTCCCTATGTTTAAGATATAACGTCCGTTGATTAATTAAATTACTGACAAAATAATTAATCAACTTCTTATTCACTTCCGAAATTAGTAACACTCGGCCTTTAACCATTATGTCAGACAATCGTCTACCTGCTGGGTTTAACATAATGTTCCTTTCTGAGCTCATTTCGGGGACATCATCAATCCAGCGCATTGGAACATAGTGACTGTAAATAATCTATAATAGCACATCATATAATTATTCTTACTTACCAAAATACCTCGTATGTCATCCTAACAGAATAGGAATCACTTGGTAAATCAAATAAATAAGAGATAAAAATATATGCTTAATTTATATTATATTGTAGCTTAAGAGAACGCATCAATCACTGAAGGGCGAGGTTACAACAACGGTCAGTGAGTGTCATAACTTTTGCCTTCTGTGGTCATGTTCAACACTTAACATAAGTGCTTGTGTAATTCTTCAGTCAAAGACCAACTGAATCGAGAATACACTACAATCTTTTTCCAAGTGGGGTCTCACTACCAGTCTAGACTATTAACGAATAGTTTAGTCTTATAAGGAACCGATAGGTGATCTTTATGTTCGAAACTCTTCGAACCACACTACCTCAATATAAGACATGGAGTATGTGTTGCATAAATAAATAA